GCCCTCAGTATCTTACGCTATATATATATATATATATATATATATATATATATATGTGCACTTACATGCAGAGATACATACTAATTGGTGCATTTGTCTGTAACTATGCAGAAAGCTCATGTCTGAATCCCAATTGCATCTGTCTCTATATTGTTTCCTTTTCATTTATTCAACGGTTAAACTATATTGAACACTATTCATGGGTCGCTTCGTATGATATGTCACACTATATATATATACACACACACACACATATATATATATATATATATATATGCATGTGTGTATGTAAATATGTGTGAATCATAGTAGCTACCCGTCAAAAAGATTGCGTTTTCTGCACATACGAACATTATTAACATACTTGTTATATCTCTTCCTTACCAAGAATATGTTGGTCACATGACTCTAGCTGCAAGTGAATATTTCTTTTAAAAGAAAAGAAAATATTATCGACATAATATCAAGACTTTACTGATTCGTACGTATTTATTTTTTAAACTGTTGTTTTAAGTTGATTAATTAACTTAATTTTGGTACCGTCGGTTATATGTGAATACATTGATTTGTTTTTTAGGTTATGATTCGATATTTTTTTCAAGTAAAAGCTGTTATCGAATGATAATTCTATGATCAGAAACAACCCTTATTTGATGTAATGGAATATGCTGTTCTAATCTTACAGTCTATATGTGTTTATAACAATCTTCTCATAACCAGCTCCATGGTACTATGTTGTAAAGCTTCATTAAAATGAATGAATGAGAGAGAGAGAGAGAGAGAGAGAGGGAGAGAGAGATGAATATGTAAGCACTAAGCAAACGCCTGTATTTGATTTGCCTCATCTTGGAGATGGATACACCGATATCAATATATGACTTGTTGAAGTTGTATTATTTTCTTATAATGCGGAAATTTATCGATCTTTTAATCCAACTAAATCTCCCAAAAGAACGGAAAAATCTAGATAAATGTGCATCTCCAAATTGAGACTCAAACATAATGTCCATCTCCAAATTAAGACTCGAAGATGGATTGAAAAATACCATTATCCCATTTCTTACCACTTGATCATCCAATTTAGATTTTTATATGGTTTTTTATAGATCTAAACAGATAATATCTGTTTATATTCACACTTAGTATTCATACGAAAAAAAATGAAATAAAATTAGAAAATCATGATTGAATTTTTTTTTTTTTTTTTTTGAATTTTGTTATTGGTTGGTTGTTCGTTACGAAATTCCATGGAACAGTATGGGCTGTACTCCCAATTTTTCGGCTGAAGCCCACGTGCATATGGACCCAAGCCAATAAAAAATTTAATTTGGGCTTTTTTTAAAAAAAAAACTCCATAGGTTTAATTGATTTAAACATTGAAATTATGGTTATATAAGGGTAAAATTCATTAAATTCGGCATAATGAATTATGCACTTTAAAATCACAATACTCTCATTCCTTACTCGATAATCGCACACGCTCAGGCGATTGGTATTGATTGGTAAAAAAACTGTTGTTGGTAGCGATTGCGAGTGATTGCGATTTAGAACGATTAGTTGACAGTGATTACGATTACGATTTGGTTTAAATTATAAAAAAAAAATTATTTTATTATATACAATACTAACCATTTTTAAAATATTTTTAATTAGTTTTTTTTACTATTATTTAATATCAAATAATTATTAAATTTATAAATAATTAATTATAAAATTGAAAATATAATTTTATTATCCATTTAATTTATTTTCAATGATAATTTTAGTATTAAAAATATTTTAAAAATATTTGTTGGTAAAACCAAACAATATCAAACATAATATATACCAAACAAAATTATTAATATATTTTTTTAATATACGTATGTATATATGTATTAAGTATATAAATATATGTATGTATATATATATGTGTATATATATGTATGTGTGTATATGTATGCATGTGTGTATATATATGTGTATATATATGTATATATGTATATGTATGCATGTATATGTTTATATATGTATATGTGTATATATGTATGCATGTGTATATATGTATGTATGTTCACGTGTATATAGATGTATGTATGTATATATGATTGTTTGTGTATATATATGTATGTGTGTATATATGTATATATGTATATATGTGTATATATGTATGCATGTGTATATATATGTATATGTGTGTGTATATATATGTATGTATGTGTGTATATATGTATGTATGTATATGTTTATATATGTATGTATGTGTATATATGTATGTATGTGTATATGTATATGTATGTATGTGTATGTGTTTATAGATGTATGTATATATGTATATATGATTGTTTGTGTATATGTATATGTATGTATGTGTATGTGTTTATAGATGTATGTATATATGTATATATGATTGTTTGTGTATATATATATGTTTGTTAGTATATATGTATGTATGTGTGTATGTATATATATATGTATTATATATATATGTATTTATATATGTTATGTATATACACATACGTAAGTTTTTTATATATATAATATGATATGTATGTGTATATATATATATATATATTAATATTAGGGGTATTTAGGTCATTTAATCAAAACGTTACATAATGCTATCGTAACGTAATCTTTTACCTACGATTAGAATATTGATGTCTTGTTGCGATTGCGGACGATTACGATTCCAACAATCATTTTTTCAATCACCCGTAATCACCAGAAGTCGCAATTACTGTGATTACGGACGATTGCCTTACCACCAGTCACATCCTCAATAGGTGTTGACATTTCTTGTTTTGGATTTAGGCTTCGTATTTTATCGGACTCGGGTCTTGGAACAATTTATGTTATTCGGTTTAATTTGGTCAATACTCGTTATATGAATATCAAATAGTTCGGTAAGTTAAGTTTAATTTGTTTTCTTTAGGGTTGTTCCTTTGAACCAAACGGAACTACAATATCCACCCTTGACCTTTTCTCGTGACGAACCATATATTAAAAAAAAATGTAATAAAATAGAATAAACAATATATTGTCTAATCAATTTAAAATAATTTTAGAGGAATAAATTGCTTGTAACTATTAAATTCTTCGTATTCAATTATGTGGACACACGATTGGAATTTTTTGGCCAAATCCGCACGCAGAGGGACATTTTTCAAAGTCAACAAAAATATATTAGAACCAAACTCGATTTGGTCGAATTTAGACGGTTGGGGTTTAGGTAATTAAGCAGTTAATCTATCAGATTCGAAATACTTAAATCCATTAGAATTTAGAAATCACAAGTTTACTCATTTTTTGACATTTTATTATTATTATTATTATTATTATTATTATTATTATTATTATTATTATTATTATTATTATTATTAGAGAGGAATAGAGTTCTACCAGAAAAAAGGGTGAAGTAGAAAAGTTAAAGACAATTACGTTTTCTGACTTGAAAACAAAACTATGTTTCAAATTCGTTAACAATTTTGACAAGTTTATTGCAAAAAAAAAAAAGTTCAGATAATATGTTATGCCACGTCAGAATACAGTAACCTAACAAATCGGAAATTTTCAAGGCTTTGAATTATCTACTTTTTTTTTAATGCAAACTTCTTGCTCATTTTCAAAACCTGTTGTTCTGTTACATTAAATTTGTAATATATATTGTAACATTTCAAATCTATAACTCTTGAAATGTCAAATATTTTTTTCGTCCCGGAGCTATAGTGTCAATTAAATAGGGTCCAAATAAATGGATTTATTATTTGCATTCAAGTTATGGATTTCTTTTTCTACATACGACAGGTTTTTAATTACCACAATTTCCAAACAGAAAATAGAATAATACAAGCGAAAATATATAAACCTATACTGATTATATTGTATGTGAACCATATGTGTTATTCGTTATTCTATTATAAGATGTGGTCGATCCATTCGAACTTGAAAAACGTCAAGCAAACGGAACTACATACGATTTCAATTCAAATTCACATATTTTGTTGCAGGGTCGGCTCAAATCATATTAACGGATAAGGTATTTTGTTGCATGGTCCAATTTTGTACATATATGTCTCGATATCTCTATCCTTTTAGCCGATAGAAACAACACGTGACACCACATCATCATTGAAAACTGATGAGATAAAATATAATGAAAAATTGCTCACGGGCCAAATATTCATATAATTGAGCACAAAAATGAAATTGCGATAATCTGCAGCACTACTAGATGCTTCTTGAACATTATTTTGAAGATTTAGACTTTTCGTCGTTTCAAAGTTACGTCAACGTCTATATAATAAAATTATAAAAGACGATCTATAAGATCTTAATTAATAGTTCACTGAACAAATTAAGTTGTGATTAATCCACTAGATGATGATTCATTGGTCGAATGGGTGACAAAATCACTTTTAAGATCGTGGATTCGATTTCTTAATGGAGAAGAGAGTACACAATTAATTACGTATCCAATGAAGCTTAAGGTTATAAAAAAATTTCAGTTATGAGTACTTTGAATAATATTTACAAATGTACCAAACATATAATATTAAATACCAAAATTACAAAATTATCATTCCTTAGGTATAATATACAATTTTGTCCATCTTTTTTTTTTCACTCTAATTGGTAACTATTCTTTGAATACAATTATTATAAACTATAATACTACAACTCATTAAAATAGTTTTTGCAAGTATGGTTTAGAAAATAGCTAAAACTACAGGATAACGACTAGAAAATGGTTACTTATAATGAGGGTGGGTGCGACTACTTGAAATCTACAGGTTTTCGGATACCGAGTTCATGGGTACTCGGAATACGTATACTTCGAAAACGGGTGCAATGAGGCAAAAAAATACAGACTACTGGTTCGGGTTCGAATTTTGTTTGAATGATAACGACCATCCTAGGATACCCGAATATAAATAAAATGATGTTTATACCCTTGATTTTAATGTATTACAAAAATATTTAAATATATTTTCAAATTAAATTATTAAAATATCCCTAAAATCAACAAAAGTCAATGATTTTCTTAAAATTTTAGGGTACCCTAGGATAATTGAGTTCATCGACGGAGATCCGGGCCACATATATTCGGACTTCACGAAAACGAAAACGAGATAATATTTTGTTAAAGCTCGTAAACACAAAAACGAATGTACTCGACAGTTATCCATCCCTAACTTATCATCCTATTCTATTGTAATAGTTTTAAAAAGAGTTGTACGTTAGCTTTTTTTTTTTTTTTTAAAGAGTATTTCCAAAATATTTTAATATAGCAGTACGAAAAGTAATTCTTTCCATTGATATATCATATAAATTAGTGCGATATAGTTGTTGCATTTTTGTAAATTATACTTTTCGAGAATGATACCTTTCATAATACACTGTGAAAGTTTTTGTAAATTCTAATACTATATATATATATATATATACTTAACAATGCCACATCATCTAATATATATAGTAACAATTTTTTTGTAATATTATATTTTGCGTAATAATGCGACATCATCTAATTTTGTCAAGATAAATACAAGATATGACATGATTGGTTAATGAATATGTTTTGATAGCCTTGTCGGCAATATCATGCACGCAAATAATTGGTAGTAAACTTTGTCATCATTAATGTGTGATTAAAGAGTTTCTGATTTAATTTGTTTAATGTTTTCTATCGGGTGGATGCATTAATTTCGGGAATCAAATCATTTCACAACCACGCTTTGCTATCTGGCAGGAGTGGGGATGAAAAGTTACCCACCCCGACACTCTTTGGGGTGAGCAATTAACAAAAAAATAAAAAAAAAAGACAAACTATTTTGTGAATTAAATAACCACGAATATAAAAATTTGTGGAAATTATATTAATTATAAAAAGGTAAAAGGATTACAAATATATCAATGAAAAAACTATATAATAATATCGACCTCTTCTCAAAAGAAATAACTTTTTTATATGAAAAAAACTGCATTCACCAAAATCAAGTACCTCATATAACGATATAATCCATAAAAGAAAGAACTTTTTATAGCTGTATAAAAAACTATATCTAATATATATCTGTACATATATATATATATAAATGTTAGCGGTTCAATTTTTTTTCCATGGACCTTTTATAGCTGTATAAAAAAATATACCTAATATATATGTACATATATATATATATATATATATATATATAAATGTTAGCGGTTCAATTTTTTTTCCATGGACCGGTAGAGTTTTATATCTATTTCTGTTGTTATTTATTTATTTTCTGTATAATATTTTTCATTCAAATATTCATAAGGAACGATAAACCGAATCAAAATCACTCATATTAAAGATATCGGCATAAATAGAATTATTTTTGTTGAAAAAATAAACCAAGCAGAGGGGAAGGTTGAGGGGCGAAAACCAAGAACATGTAATTGGCCACCAAAACCAATTTCACGAATGATTAAATATAAATATAAGGTTAAAAATATTCAAATTTTTTTTTTGTCACTTCAGTTCCTTTTTCACAAAGGAAACTTGATGGGAAAAGTTACGGCCCCACGGATACGACTGTATGTAATAATAATAATAATAATAATAATAATAATGATGATGATGATGATAATAATAATATCGACCTCCCCGTTGCCTTATATTATGCAACCCACTAACCAACTCTCTGCTTCTTACCCATTTCATACGTGCAACCTCTTCTCTCTCTCTCTCTCTCTCTCTCTCTCTCTTATTGAAGTCTACTGAGACATTAGAAGAACGACGCAGAAGAGGAGCAGTCATCTTCTCGGTAATCACACTAATCTCTCTCTCTCTCTCTGTATCTCTGTATATTCAAAATAAGAACTGAACAATCATGTTGGTTTATTTATACATCTGGATTCCTATTGGTTGTTTTTCCTTTTCTTTCTAGGGTTAATGCCGAGAAAATTTTCAGACAATCATATGCTAGGCAAGAGTTAGGACATGCACAGTAATTGTTACGGAACTGATTCAGAAGATTCCAATAGATTAGATCGTGACTCTCGCGATCAAAGATGGGTCTAAGAATATTTTTTGGGAAAGAATATGTCTATTAATTATTTCTTCTTTCTCTCCCATTCAATGCAAAGCACCAAGCTTACAAAAGGGATAATTAATTTGATTACAACGACGCTACATAGATATTTGGATCTTTTGGATTTCAGGTTTAGTTTGGGATTCAATTATTTTTTAAAAAGATTTTTTTTTCTTATTTTCGTACTCGATTTCATTTTCTTCTGATTAATTTGATTTTAAAAATTGTATTTAACCAAATTCTATATGCGGTATAATTAAATACTATTTGATTCATATCGATTTGTAAATCTACAAACCAGTTTTTACGAAGATACAATTATTGATATTGATATAATATATATTTTTTGTTTGTAAATAGGAGAAAATGCATGTTTTTAAACGAAAGATACATTCTACAGGAACAATATATACGTTTCTTTGTTTTGGTCCAACGTGGGTTCTCAATTATGTTAATTACTTCAATTGACATTATTCAATGATTATGCTATAATTAATATTAATTGTTTCATAATCATTTATTATTTATTATTAAACATAAATTACTATGCTTTTTCTTGCTTCCCCGGCCCGTTTCTGTCGGTGGGTCCAATAATAATAATAATAATAATTGATTTATTTTGCTTTAATTGGCTAAACTATTCAGTATTCACAATACTTTTCTCCACCATTCACTATCTTTTTATTTTCCATCTCAGATGGACCCGTTTCCTCTTTATTTTCATATAACCCAAAAAATCAACTGATAAAACATATTTTTATTTTTTTCCAGGTGAAATTCGGCTTTTTTCGGAAAATGGGAAACTTTAAAGTATTATTAATATTATTTTTGATCATTCCAGTTTTTGGAAAATCAAAATATATAAGATATAAAGACCCAAGAGAGAATACAGAAAATAGAATAACAGATTTACTGGGAAGAATGACAATAGAAGAGAAGATAGGACAAATGGTTCAAATCGATCGCAGAACTGCTTCACCAGATATCATGAAGACGTATTTTATTGGTATGTTTGCATGTACACACGTGTATATACATAAATTCTATACAAATATATATTCTTTATATTATTTTGGAAAATATATCCGCATATCAATCATATACTCCAATACGTTATGTATGTGTTAAACATGCAACGTATATATATATATATATATGCATTTACGCAGGGAGTGTGTTGAGTGGAGGGGGAAGTGTACCGGGAACGAACGCGACGGCAGAAGAATGGATAGAGATGGTGAACGAATTCCAAAGAGGGAGCCTGTCCACGAGGCTTGGAATTCCGATGTTGTACGGAATAGACGCGGTCCATGGACACAACACTGTCTATAGAGCCACCATATTCCCTCACAACGTCGGCCTCGGCGCCACCAGAGATCCTCCGCTCGTCCGACGCATCGGTGCCGCCACCGCCCTCGAGCTCAGGGCCACCGGCATCCCCTACACTTTCGCTCCTTGCGTTGCGGTAACAAAAAAAAAACACTCCATACCCTACTGATTCGTGGATATTCATCCCCGTGAGTATCCGAAATTTCAGATGCGAATGCAAGGTCGGATCCTCCGTATAGGCGAGAACCCGAGCCACGGGCTCGAGTATGGATTTCGTGTCAATTCTCAAACTTTCTCTCTCTTCTTGAATCTCGCCCTTTCGGCCTCGCCTCTTGTGAATGATTATTCCAAAAGATTGCTTAGGTGACAAGTCAGAAAGTCGCTTAGGTCACAAAAAAGGCGGATGATAATAATGTCTTAAGGAAGCAGCGTTAGGTCTAAAGTTCAGCGAACATTGAATCGAACACAAGTCTTTTCTTGAAACTACTATTAATACTTCATTTGAATAAACATTAAATTGCTCAGTTATTTTTTTTCCTCGAGAAAAAAAGGTTTGCAGAGATCCGAGATGGGGCCGATGTTACGAGAGTTACAGCGAAGATCCGAGAATCGTGGAAGATATGACGGAGATCATACCCGGATTACAAGGAGAACTTCCGGCAACCCTTCCTCGGGGAACTCCTTTCGTTGCAGACAAGTAATAAAAAAAAATCTAAGATTATGTTAACTCTACATAAATCTCAATCAAAAACATTTTGGCATTGGCGTGTTACTTGTGTGTAAGACGAAGGTGGTGGCTTGCGCCAAACACTACGTAGGGGACGGAGGAACGGTCCGGGGAATCAACGAGAACAACACGATCATAGACAAGAAGGGTCTGCTCGAAATCCACATGCCCGGTTACTACCGCTCTTTGTCGAAAGGAGTTTCCACCGTTATGGCTTCCTACTCGAGCTGGAACGGTCTTAAGATGCACGCTAACTACGATCTCATCACTTCTTTCCTCAAGAAGAAGCTTCGTTTCCAGGTACGTAAAGGGCCCATCAGCCAAGTTGATAGGAGACAGAAGAGATCAATATACAAGAAAACTTTACTCAGTACCAAGAATAACGAATACTGAAGACGATCTCCGAAATCTTTTTTCAGGGTTTTGTCATATCGGACTGGGAAGGAATCGATAGGATTACCTACCCGCCTCACGCTAATTACACGTACTCGATCCAGGCTGCGGTTAATGCGGGCATCGACATGGTGAGTTCATGCGTTAATAAGCCGGCCTTTTGCTTCTATCCAGAAGAGTAGGGCTTCATAACTTTTGATTCTGGTAATCTCACAGGTCATGATCCCTTACAACTATACAGAATTCATGGGAAAGCTAACCTTTTTGGTAAAAAACAAATACATTCCCATGGCCCGTATCGACGATGCCGTGACCAGAATCCTGCGTGTGAAGTTCATCGCGGGTCTGTTCGAAGAGCCCTTAGCCGACACCAGCTTTGTCCATAAGCTCGGTAGCCTGGTTAGTCGAATATCAAGCCTTGCTTTTCTTATTATCGTCGATACATACGAAAGATGGTATTAGCATTCTCCACTTCAATCTTTAGCTTAATACCTGAAAATTTTACGGCGACAGGAACACAGAGAGTTAGCGAGAGAAGCGGTGAGGAAATCGCTCGTGCTACTGAAGAACGGCGAAACTGGTGATGAACCATTGCTTCCTCTTCCAAAAAGGGCGAGAAAAATACTTGTAGCCGGGAGCCATGCTGATAATTTGGGGTATCAATGTGGCGGATGGACAATAACATGGCAAGGACATAGCGGGAACAATTTCACCGAAGGTAAATAAGGAGACATAAAAGCTATGAACTGTACGAGGTTTCTCCTTCTTGTCCTCTTATAACCAGGAATCAAAGCTCTTACCTTTCTGCATTTCTGCTGAAAAGGTACCACCATCCTGAAGGCAATCAAGAACACAGTTGATTCAGAAACGCAAGTCATCTATTCAGAAAACCCCATTGCAGAATTTGTGAAATCCGGCGAGTTTTCTCATGCAGTCGTCGTAGTAGGCGAACGCCCTTACGCAGAATCGGAAGGGGACAGTAACGACCTGACCATAGCAGATCCTGGACCGAGCACGATCACAAACGTGTGCGGGGTCATGAAATGCGTAGTGGTTATCATCTCTGGCCGCCCCGTCGTTCTTCAGCCGTACATTTCGATGGTGGATGCCGTCGTCGCTGCTTGGCTGCCCGGATCAGAAGGGCAGGGAATTGCCGACGTTCTGTTCGGGGATTACGGTTTTACGGGGAAATCGCCAAGAACTTGGTTCAAGACCGTGGACCAGCTCCCCATGAACGTAGGGGACTCGCATTATGATCCACTCTTCCCGTTCGGATACGGGTTAACCACAGAACCCGTGGATGACAGCCGGAAGAACAGCCTGAGAGATTCATGGTAGATTATTACAAGACATAAACCTTATCTTGTTTCTAAGTTACAGCAAACACGATCTGTACATAATCCAATACCCGAAATTTAATGCAAAAATATTCCTTTTTATAAAATGTTTTGTTCTATAGAAATATTGCTTAAGCCTGCCAATGAATTGTTTTGTTTTTCAGAAAGAATCTCTCAAAATAATAATATTTGACAACTCGATCCACTTCTGTGACACTTTGGCATGCCTTTGCATCGGCCACCACGCGGCCCAACAAATTATTTTGAGTAAATTAGTTGAAATATACAAACAAATTTTCATATGCTGAATTAATGGATGTGTTTATAAGCATTTTATTAAAGTCTATGAATTCATTTCCAATGATCATAATATAGAAATAGTAATGTGTGTGTATATATATATATTTAGAGTTATAACTATCTATAAATATATTTGTAATTCATTAAAATACTAATCCACCAAGTTTTTCTCTATAAAAAAATGTAATATAAAAGTCACTTTATTTGCTGTCATTTCGACCCTATAAAAAAAGAAAATATTAAATTAGCTCTGCAATATACACATATATATACTTAAACCAAAAAAAAAATATACACATATATAATATATCTATATCATGTCATGTTCATGTTTATTTCCGCTAGACATGCCTCCCCTGTCCAGCTGGGGAAATAGCTGATATACCCTCTTGCTGCTATTTGTACTTCTGATGATAACCTTAAAACAAAAAATTAAACAAAAAACACTCTTTCACATGTCAAAGATACAAACACCCTCAAATATTTATGAAAAGACCAAAAACCCTTTTTTTTTTTTAATTTAAAAAATTCAAAATAAAAAAATAAAAGTAACAACTTCATTATCTTCTCTCGTGGTTCTTCTCTCTCTCCTACCTTTCACCATTTTTATTCTCTCTCTAAAAAAATCACAGATTTTTATTGTTAAATCTCAATTTTCCTTCAGTTTTCTTTAAAAAATTTCGTTTTCTCTTTAAATCTTAAACTAGATTTGAGATTCAAAGAAGAAAAAATGACGATAACAAAGAACGTAACTTCAAAATCATCTTTATTTTATTTCACTTTTATCATCTTCATCCGTTCCCTCTCTTATTTTCATTTTTTTTTTCAATTTTTCTTTCGTTCTCTCTCTCAAAATCGTCGAACTCTCCTCCCTCTCTCGTCGATTTGTGCCTTAAATCTCGATTTCTCTCATAAATTTCGTTTACCCATCAAAATCTTAGGTTACATCAGAGATTGAAAGAAGAAGTAACGACGAGAGCAAAGAACATGATTCAAGTTCATCTTCCTCGTAATCTTCGAACGAGAATGAGAATTGTATGGTAATTAAATTTTGATTTTTTTTCAGATTTGTTTGATTTTAGATTTCTTTCAATTGAATTGAAGGTGGCTTCGAGATTGATCGATAAAAGTATTAAAGTTTTGGATATTTTTGAAAATTTCGAGATTTTGAAATAAAATGTTGTGTTTGTGGTCAAAATTGAGTGAAATTGATGAATTTCGATCACATGAGGATTCGAAGGATAAGGTCACACGGTCAGAGTCATAAAGCATTTGAGAAAGTCAGGACTGGATACATTACGGAGTCCAAGTTTCGAGAAAGAGCTTTTGTCACACGGAATATGGATTACAAATATTGTAAGTTTATACGGTCACATGGTCACACGGTCACATGATCACACAGTCACATAGTCACATGGTCACACGGTCACACGGTCACACGGTCACACGGTCACACGGTCACATGGTCACAATGTCACACAGTGATATCTGGATAATATTGCTGACATATGTTATGTCATCTCGTTCCGACGGCGTGTCTCTTGGGTGGATCAAAATCTTTATCTGATGGTGATGTACTCGACATTTAGTATATGGAGGGACTACCGCAAAATGATAACGATTGTGAATATAATGTTTTTGCAATCAACTATGTTGAAACGATTTATAGAGGTAAAGAACATACGTTGTGCCCCTTGATATGCGACGACAACGTCATCCTGATCCGTGAGCAGGTGATGGCTACAATATTTATCCGTGGTAAAGTTCAGAGTGTTAACTTTTATTTTACCAAGTGCTTTGTTTATTTTGTTTTGAATCCTAATTATGATTTTTTTTTGTTTGTTTGATAGCATGAACTTTTATTTTCGGTTTTTATTTATTAAAAATATAAATTTATTTATATTTTAGAGAAAAATCTGGGTAGAAATTGTTGTTGAGAAAATTTTGGACTTAAAACGTTGAAGGGAACATATATACGGCTGAATTCAAAGTGGAGGAAAAAAACACCTAAAAAAAACTGCATTTTTCGATGATTTTATGTGAAAATGGAGTACAACAAAATATGTTGAATTTTGTTAATAAAAAATCTGAATTTTTTAATATTTTACAGAAAATATTGGGTGAAAAATATTGTAGATAAAATTTGAAGTTAAAAATTGGGAGAAAAAAATATAGATTTGAAGAATTATATAGGGTTGAATATTCAAACTGGACCCCACATTAAAAATAAAAATAGAAATAATAATTGTGGACCCCAGAAACATAAAAATCTGTTGAAATTCTGACTAGTTCTTCGTGTGGACCCCACAGTAAATTTCGGTCACAATGGGTCACAGTCGGTCACAACCGGTCACAACCTTCGATCCATGCGATTTTTATTAATTTAATCACTCTACAATGTTACACGTCTCTCATAAACCTATTTTATATTGTTTCGAACATTAAAATATAGTTTTTACTATTTTTATGTTTCAAAGTTGTTATTCCAAATGTATTCCTATATGTTTCATAATGTTTTATGAGTAACTTTGATAAATTTGGTATATTTCATTTACAAACCCCTTAAAATATTTTGAAAATTTTTCATACACGCTATATATTTGATATATAGACTCTGATAAACCATCCCAAAGTTTAAAAACTGAATTTTGACCTAGATTTATCAATACATTTCGGTCACAGGTCACAGTCGGTCACAATGGTCACACAGTGCAAAATTGCACTTCGGTCACATGATCACAGGCTGGTCACAATGGGTCACAATGATGACTCATATGAGTCAATTTATTTAGTGTGTAATAAGAGTCACATATATGCCAAAATAAATAGTAATTATTGGGTAACTATATTTACTCAGAATTATTTTAATACATTATTATACAAAAAATTTTATACATTATTGTACAAACACAATATAACATTATTATACAAATATTTTTGGACATTATTATACAAATTTTTTTAACACATTATTACACAAAATAAAGTACACCATTATTAAATAAATTTTGTCTCTTCATTCCAAATTAGGCGTTCTCTCCGACATTGTCGATGTTAATGTTTCCTTTGAATAATTAATGATGTACTGTATTGATATAATAATGTGTTCATAAATAAGTTCAGATACAAATTAGGCGTTCTCGCCGACAAGTTCATATATAAATTCAGATACAAAATAATCAAAAACAAAAAATTAAAGTTCATAATTTAGGATTTTACGAAACAAATAAAAGGGGGTCATAGTTAATGTCCAAACACAAAAAATAAGTCACTTGGTAAAAAAAAAATTCACGTTTTTTTCGTCACCTTGCCATGAACAAATATTGTGGCTGCCAACTACTCATGAATCATGGAGACATTATCGCACATATCAAGGGACATAACGTTTGTTGTTTACCAAGATAAATTGCATCAATATACTTTATTGCAAAAATACCACATTCACAACCGTTATCATTTTGCGGTTTCTCTCTCCTCCTGTTGTAGACGTTCTCCTACCATTCACGTAACACTTTGTCAATATACGATGTTAGGCTTTAAAGACCATGTGACTATGTGACTATGTGACCATGAGACCGTGTGACCACGTGACCATGGGACCGTGTGACCATATGACCTTATCACCCTAATGATCTATGTCAATCATTATCCTAATGGCTCGTGACCCATATGACTATGTGCCCGTATGTAACCTTTATGACCTATCTATTGTGATCCGTATTATTGTTGTAATCCATGAACGATATGCACATTGTTACCTTTGTGCTCTATATGTCCACTTTGACTATTGTGATAGATAACTGTGTGATCTATGACTCAATTATATTCTAAAAACACTTAAACACAGATTTGATATGGATCTATGACAAAGCTTAGTAAATAATTAAAAAAATATATACAAAAAAACGTTAAAACCATCAATATTCATAAAAAGACGGGGATTTTCGACTGCCGCTTATATATTTCTAAGTTTCTGTTTGATTTCATACAGATTTTGCTATGATTTTGTCAAAATTTGAGGAAAAAATCCCAATTTCAGAGGAGAGAGAAAATAATGTAGAGAGAGAAAGCTTCAATCGAAAGAGAAGAATGGAGGAGAGAGAAATCCTAGTTTTGAGGAGAGAGAATACTGATTTTTATTTTAAAAAATAAATATAAAATAATATTATAAGGTTATTTTGGTCAATGTACATTTGAGAGGGTATTTTGGAAGTAAATTTTTTTTTTGGATAGGAGGAGGGTAGATGTAGAAGTCCATTTAGCACATTGAGGGTAAAAGAGATAATCCCCCTGTCCAGCTATGACAACTCTGTAAGGGTAGTTTCGTCATTCTAGTTACCACCGCCCAAAGGCCCAAAAAAGAAAGAAAGAAGTTCAATTCACTTACAGTTCCGTTGCTGAATTTTTTTCCCCGTTCCGTTTTAAAAAAGAGACCCCAAAAACCATCATCCTCTGCGACGCATGTGCACTGACTTCAATACATCTAAAATATCCCAGCCGTTAATTCTACACGAAGGATCCCATTTGATCTCGACGGCCTGTCTACTTTTCTCTCAGTTTTGTCTCGCTTATCTGCTTTTTTTTGTTTGCTTTTTCCAACACCAAGAACTATATATTTTCGAATTAAAACCCTAATTCTTCCTCGTTTCTTCTTCCTTTTTTTTTTTAAATTCCAATTTGATTTTTTTTTTGGTAGTTAGGACAGGGAAATTAAAGGAGCAAAAATCAAACAAAAACTTTTGATCTCCCAGTGTTCCAATTTTCTTTTGTTGCATTGTTTTCCTTCCGACTTTTGGAGTTTATCGTTGCTTTGCTTCGACCATGAACGATCTTCTGAAGGTGAGACTTCTGCGATTGTTTCTCTGTCTTTCCGACATTTGGGTTGTCTTAAATTCTTTATTTTTAGCATTTATTTGAAGTTGTTCGTTCGGAGTTCAATTTTGATCGATCCTCGAGAGAAATGTAGGCGATTGGCAACTGTTAATCGTGGCTACTGAGATGAATTCTTTTTTGTCTGATTCTTGCTGTGATACTTCGGCATTTGTTCGATCTGGGTTGAAAGATATGGATTTGAGTTAACCCTAGTTCCGGAATTTCAGTTTTGGTTCCTGAGAAAAAAGAGATCAAAGGGATAGTTATTGAGAAATTCACTTGCCTCGACCCTCCAATGTGAATGGTTCAGATCTTGAAGATTTTTAATCCAATAGATAGCTTCGCGCTGAAGTTATATCGTTGTAGACCACTTTTATCTGCGATTCTAAGTATTGGTTTCCTGAAGTTTAAATCTAGCTGAAGTGGAGTGGTTCTATTTGCTTATCTTAAGCAAGGAGATCATGGGCCAAGGCTAGAGCCATTTGCGTAGACTGTTGACAAGTAAAACAATGATTTCCACCATTACAATTTAACGACTATAGTCTTCGATAATCTGTATTCGTTTCAGCATCTGATTGTCATTTTCATGTAAAGTTTCCAGTTATAGTGCAGAATGTTAGGCTTCATCCTGATTCTTGGATTTGAATGTTTTCTTGTATCTCTTTCTTGTTTTTCATCCGTCAACAATCAACTCATGGAAGAAAAATCTGATGAACGCACATTAGCTGGGTCGCTAGGCTAGAATAGTGTTTTCGGTTATGGTCTGTGAGAATTCATAGTATTGTCTGGTCGGATTTTCCTTTGTCTTTTGGCTGTAAGCATAGACCGGGTGAGACGGGTCTTACGACTCTTACTGTTGTAGTGATATCGGTCTTACAGTTGAGAAAATATACTGCCAAAATCCATCAATACTTTGTGGACATGGGCAAGTTAATATGGCATACAGAATGAATGTGCACGGGCCATTCCTTTCCTTTTGAAATTTTGTTCTATGAATATGGAGCATATTCCAAATAATGTGTCGGGTCGGGTTTGAGAAGGCAGAGGGAGCTGGAAATATATGCTGCTAAGGTTAGTCTTTGATCATTCTTTAATCAAATTTAATGGATTTTCTCAGGATTCGTTTGAGCTCCCTCGGGGTCAATCTTCTAGAGGTGGAGATATTGAGTTAGGGGGACAAGGTCAGTCGAATCATGGAGATCAAGGACTAGAAGATTTCTTCAAAAAGGTACCCGCTGGTTTTCAGTTATGGGCCTTTATGGAATGCTTATGCTTCCGTACTATTCGCAACATCTCATCGTTTCCTTTTTCGTCTTTTTAGGTTCAAGAAATTGACAAACACTATGAGAAGCTAGATAAGCTTCTAAAGAAGCTTCAGGTATTATAACCCTTATCCTTTTTTAACTCAGCTTATTAGCTTTCTGCAACTCTCTTCAATACATGTCTTGTGCCTGTATAGTGTATGTAGTATCTGGCTGGATGTTTTGATATACTAGTCGTCGTGCTAATATGGATGTGTGTATGTTATGTCGTCTGGTAATATGGTGGATAATATTTGTATGAAAATAGCAGGAGAAGTATTGAAGTTAAACGGGTTAGAAGAGAAATTTTGGTGCTTCAGTTTCAATCAGAACTCTGTCTTGCATTCTACAGTTTTTCAGTCGGTAGTGAAGTGATGACTGAATTTTACATATTCTTGACCGAAATCGTGTCGTAAATGTGAGGGCTGACCGATGTCACTTGTCAATTGAACTCATGAGACTACTGTATGGAAACCTTACATGCAGGCTGCCCATGAGGAATCAAAGGCGGTCACCAAAGCTCCTGCCATGAAAGGTGGACTATTTATTTACTTTATGCGATTTTTTCGTCACCACAGTGGAAATTATTATGGAGTTTCGACTGAAACGATGCTCAATTTTGAATTTTTCGTTGAACTTAAGCTCAACTATATAAATGATTTGGCTCTCTGAGAATTGATCCTTATGTAATGGGCAGCTATAAAGAAGAAAATGGAAAAAACGTGGACGAAGTTGAAAGTATTGCCCGTTTCATAAAGGGGAAACTTGAGGAGCTGGATAGAGATGTAGGATAACTGGCTCCGCATCTACATGTTTTACGATTTTTTTTAGTATCTTATTGTTCCTTTTAGATTTATATTCGTTTAAAATTTTAAATGGTCTAGAATTTGGCAAATAGACAGAAGCCTGGATGTGGAAAAGGATCCGGTGTAGACCTCTCAAGAACAGCAACGACTCTGTGAGTGTTGTTTCAAAACATGTCCCTTTGATCCTTTTTTGAACTCCTTGGTTCGAACCTAGTGTAGGCTAAGTGCCGATTCTCTTATCTTCCGACAGGAATTTTGTTTTACTCCTTTCATCTTGTTCACTTCACTTTTAGAGTTGTTTAAGGCATGTGGTAAGAAGGAATGATTGCCTGAAACTCTCACATATCATGCTTAGAATTTGGCCATCCTACTGCATCTAGAGAGTGTGTGTGTATATATATTGAAATCTCTGTAACAAGTAATATGGTGGCACAAAGGATAAGTATGAACACATCTTCATTTCTGCGTTCAAGATGTGATCTCTTTGAACAATTCATTACGATTCTTTTGTCTATATCCGCATATAGTCTCTTTGGCTTGACCTCTGTGAACTTTATATCCTTTGTTCCAGTTCCTTGAAGAAGAAGTTGAAAGACAAAATGGCTGAATTTCAGGTGGGTAAGGAACTAAAAAAACTGTTTCGGTACAAGAATCGTCGTTTCTTTCTCAAGTTAAAATCATATATTTTTTTTCCTCAGACTCTTCGAGAGAACATACAACAAGAGTATCGAGAGGTGGTGGAAAGACGTGTATTTACCGGTAATTTTTTTTTCCTCAGATGATTTGATTTGTATGAAAGGGAGCCTCGACTCACGGTTAAGGTGTTGCCGTTGTGACCTAGACGTCACGGGCTCGAATCCTGGAAGCAGACTATTTCTGCAAGATAAGGCTTGCCTACAATACACCCTTGAGGTGGGACCTTTCCCCGGACCCCCGCTCGACGGGGACGCTTTGTGCACCGGGCTACCATTTATGATTTGATTTGTATATGCTAACTTTGCCCTCTACTTCATCCTACGTTTTCCCAAGATTTGAGACTTATGTTTTGTGTTTTTTCTTGATCGTTAGTGACTGGCCAACGAACCGAGGAAGAGGTAAAGCTTTTCTTTCTTTCTTTTTTCCTGTTTTGTTTTGTTTATGAACTTGATATTTGGACCATTTTATCTCTGTAGTCTCATGCCCTTCTTCCATAATCAACAGACAATTGACAAATTGATTGAAACTGGAGACAGCGAACAAATCTTCCAGACAGCGATTCAAGAGCAGGGACGAGGACAGGTATGAACTTTTCGCCTTTTGTGCTTTATTTATGTGTTCGATAGAGCAAGCGAGAGATTTATTTGAGCATGTTCCTCACAGATAATGGACACCTTGGCCGAAATTCAAGAACGCCATGACGCCGTTAGAGACTTGGAAAAGAAACTTCTCGACTTACAACAGGTATTACAGGCTCATTCCGTTGATTTTAATTCCTGTGCACACTTTCGTATGTTTGATGATGAATAGTTTTCAATGACTTGTAGCCTTCTCGGTGATTTCTTTTTTTTGCTTGAAAAATTCCCATTCTGCTGGCTTTGTGATCTTACATGTCCTGACTCCTGTCTTTGTTCACAGTTCTTGCCTCATCTTATTACATGTATGGTCTGATAATTAGCTTAGGTGTCTTTTATCATTCTTTTCGCGTTCTTTTCCCGGTATTGCAGATATTCCTGGATATGGCAGTTTTGGTTGATGCTCAAGGAGAAATGCTGGACAACATAGAATCTCAGGTAATCACAATTAGTTCTTATATATATATATATATACACCATTTCAGCTTCTCAAAACATTATATTGAATTGAAAGTTCATAGTTCATACACAAGGCTTCAAAGCAAGTGCAGTCTATTTAGTCACCCTATGAAATCATTCACAATTTTTAGAAATGTAAACTGTAGTATAGTATAACAGAATGCACCTATATGTGATCTTTTCTTTGAATTCATGGGTCGGGCACGGATTTTAGAAAACGAGGATACATCTATCCCGGGCATGTGGTTTATGCTCGTTTTCTCGGGGGGTTTTCCCCCTCGTTATAGGTTTCGAGTGCAGTGGATCATGTACAGTCTGGGAACACGGCTCTTCAGAGAGCGAAGAGCCTTCAGAAGAGCTCGAGAAAATGGATGTGCGTCGCCATTGTCATCCTCCTTATCATCGTCGCCATCATCGTGGTCGGTGTTCTAAAGCCTTGGCAAACCAAGAACGGCGCGTGAAAACCTCGTCTTTTTGCGCCCTCGGCCACAAAATCCGATCGTCGATGATATACAAAAATATCGGCCTGAAAATGGCGATATCTCGCGAGGATGATTTCGATGATCTTCCTCGAGTGTTTGGTTGAATGGTTTTTGAGGTTTTGTGTTGCAGAGAGAAAAAAAAAACCCAGAAACTGAAACTGTTCTTCCTTAGTTTGTTGTGATCATTATTCATAATGGCTTTTGCTTATTGTATTATTCTTTTACTTGGATCAACCAAAACATACCATCCTTCTTGCCCTTTGTTCCTTGTGAAAATTGATTTTTTATTTATAATATATTTATGGGTTTTACAGATGTTAGAGAGTTCAACACATGACGGTTTTTTTAGTGAAATTGTCTCTGTAATAATTTGGAATTATTAAGAAATAAACGTAAAAGTGTTATGAATGTCTATATTTAATTTACTTATGTAACTCTTTTTCTTATTAATTCAAATGGTGTTGTTTCTTTTTCTAAAGCCTATAAATAGGTATTTGTAATCACATTTGTAAACACACCAAGAAGAAAGAACAATTAAAGAAATACTCTCCCTTCTCATATCTCCTTTTAGCATTCTTAGTTATTATTATTTTTACAACACGTTATCAGCACAGATAAGAAATGAATCGTTAACATTTTTGGAACGAATTTATGGTGATATATGTGGTCCAATTCATCCACCATGTGGACCATTTCGATATTTTATGGTTATGATCGATGCATCAACTCGATGGTCACATGTGTGTTTGTTATCATCTCGTAATTTAGCTTTTACAAGGTTACTTGCACAAATAATACGATTACGAGCACATTTTCCTGACTATCCAATAAAAACAATTCGACTCGATAATGCTGGTGAGTTTACGTCCCAATCATTTATAACTTATTGTATGTCGGTTGGAATAAAAGTGGAACATCCTGTAGCTTATGTTCACACTCAAAATGGTCTAGCTGAATCATTTATAAAACGAATCCAATGGATTGCGAGACCTATGCTTATAAAATCTAATCTCCCTATAGGGGCCTGGGGACATGCTGTTCTACATGCATCACAACTTATACGCATCAGACCTACAAGTTACAATGATATTTCCCCATTACAATTGGTTCATGGTCAGGAACCAAATATTTCCCATTTACGAATATTTGGATGTGCGGTATATATTCCAATTAGTCCACCACAACACACAAAAATGGGACCCCAACGAAGGATGTGAATTTATGTTGGATATGAATCTCCATCTATAATCAAATATATTGAACCAACGACTGGAGATTTATTTACTGCAAGATTTGCAGATTGCCATTTTGACGAATCATTATTCCCAACATTAAGAGGGAATAATAAACAACTGGAAAATGAGATATCATGGAATGAATTATCACTAAAAGGTTTAGATCCTCGAACAAAAGATTGTGAACTAGAAGTTCAAAGGATAATTCGTTTGCAAAGTATTGAAAATCAACTGCCAGATGCATTTATTGACCACAAAAGAGTAACAAAATCTCATATTCCAGCTGTAAATGCTCCTATTAGAATTGATGTATATGAAGAGCAACCTACGATTGCTAGTGAGTCTAAGGCACGCATGAAGCGTGATAGACCAATTGGTTCCAAAGATAAAAATCCTCGAAAAAGAAAAGGAGCAAACAATTATGATAATAACAAGGATATTTCTCCAGAAGAGACCGTTGACATTAGGGCTGGACGTTTCGGTTCGGTTCTTCGGAACCGGACCGAACCGAACCGTTAAAACGGTATTTTTCCCGACCCGAAACCGTTGTTATTTCCCGAACTGTACCATTTTTAGAGAACCGAATTTTCCCGGAACCGAACCGAACCGAACCGAACTTTAAAAATCCCGAAAAACCGAATATTTTTAAAGGAAATCTAACATTTTTTTTAATAAAACCCGAAACCGAACCGAACCGATACCGAAACCGAACCGAACCGAATACAATAAAAAACCGGATTGGTATCTATTTTTGTAAAACCGAAAGAACCGAACCGATCTATTCCGTCCCGAACCCGAACCGTTTCCCGAAATGCCCACCCCTAGTTGACATAGTTAATAATGAAGAGAATCAGGTACCTACAATTAATGATAATGAAGAGATCTCGATTAACTACGTCACTACGGGAAAACGATGGGACCGAAACAATATAATTGTCGACAATATTTTCGTATATAATATAGCGCGCGATATCATAAACGAAAATGAGGATCATGAACCTACCTCTATAGAAGAGTGTAGAAATAGAAAGGATTGGCCAAAATGGAACGAGGCAATCAAGTCTGAATTAGAGTCATTTAAAAAACGAGATGTCTTTGGACCTATAGTCCAAACACCGAAAGGCATTAAACCAGTAGGTTATAAGTGGGTATTTATAAGGAAAAGAAATGAACAAAATAAAATTATCAGATATAAAGCACGACTTGTTGCACAAGGTTTTACCCAAATGCCCGGTATTGATTATGAAGAGACATATTCTCCTGTGGTGGATGCAATAACATTTCGATATTTAATATGTCTGGCAGTACATGAAAGACTTGAAATGCGCCTCATGGATGTAGTCACAGCCTATTTGTATGGATCATTAAATCATAATATTTATATGAAAATCCCTGAAGGATTTAAAGTGCCTGAAGCACATATTGATAATTCCCGGGAAATTTATTCAATAAAGTTAAACAAAGCGTTGTATGGATTGAAACAATCAGGACGAATGTGGTATAATCGTTTGAGTGAATTTTTAACCAAAGAAGGTTATAATAATGATCTTATATGTCCATGCGTGTTCATAAAAACCATAGGATCTAAATTCGTCCTAAATTCATGTTTATGTAGATGATTTAAATATCATCGGTTCTCCTGAAGAGTTATTACAAGTTGTGCAATGTTTAAAAAAGGAGTTTGAAATGAAAGACCTTGGAAAAACAAAATATTGTTTAGGTCTTCAAATTGAACATCTAACAGATGGAGTTTTCTTACATCAATCTACTTATTTGGAAAAAGTATTTAAAAGATTTTATATGGATAAAGCTTATCCATTAAGTACTCCCATGGTAGTAAGGTCATTAGATGTTAATAAAGATGTGTTTAGACCTCGTGATGAAAATGAAGAACTACTTGGCCCCGAAGTGCCATATCTTAGTGCTATTGGAGCATTAATGTATCTTGCTAATAATACACGTCCTGATATATCTTTTGCCGTAAGTTTGTTAGCAAGATATAGTTCTTCATCAACTCGAAGACATTGGAATGGCGTGAAACATGTATTTAGATATCTTCGAGGGACCATGGATATGGGTTTATATTACTCCAACATGACCAAATCAGATTTAATTGGTTATGCAGATGCAGGATATTTATCAGATCCGCATAAAGCCCGATCTCAATCAGGATATGTATTCACTTATGGTGGAACTGCAATTTCATGGTGTTCTACAAAGCAAACTTTGGTTGCAACTTCAACTAATCACGCAGAAATATTGGCGATTTATGAGGCAAGCCGAGAATGTGTTTGGTTAAGATCGTTATCTCATCATATTCGGGGATCATGTGGACTTTCAACCGATAAAGATATTTCTACAATCTTATTTCAAGATAATACTGCATGTATAGCGCAATTAAAGAATGACTATATCAAAGGTGACAAAACGAAACATATCTCGCCAAAGTTCTTCTTCACTCATGATCTTCAAGAAAAAGGTGAAATAAGTATTCATCAAATTAATTTAAATGAGAATCCAGCAGATTTGTTCACTAAGTCTCTACCCAGATCGACATTTGAAAAGATGGTACATATGATTGGGATGCGGCATTTGAGATATATAAAATGATGTTATTTCTAGGGGGAGAAAAAGATATGTACTGCACTCTTTTTTCCTTCACCAACTTTTATCCCATTGGGTTTTCTTGGTAAGGTTTTTAATGAGGCGGTATCAAAACATATCTTTTGATCAATAGACATTCAAGGGGGAGTGTTAAGAAATAAACGTAAAAGTGTTATTAATATCTATATTTAATTTACTTATGTAACTTTTTTTCTTATTAATTCAAATGGTGTTGTTTTTTTTTCTAAAGTCTATAAATAGGCATTTGTAATCACATTTGTAAACACACCCAGAAGAAAGAACAATTAAAGAAATATTCTCTTTTCTCATATCTCCTTTTAACATTCTTAGTTATTATTATTTTTACAACAGGGATCACTATATATATATATTTTTTGTCTTCCTATTAAATTTGACCATATGATGAGGACGGGAACCTCTGTGAAAGTTCGGTTTGGGTTACAATGTTATCATAAAACCGAGTAAAATTCACGAATCGAACCAACCGGTTTAGGGTTTTGAATATTGGGCTTTAATCCTTCGTTCCGTGACTGCATTCTCAAGCGACAAATAGTCAAAGACGATCTCTCGTCTCGCTCCAGAAAATTCTCTGTAAGTCGAAATAATTTCGAATTTAGGGTTTTGAATATCGCTCATAGTTCTTCGATTTATGCTGTCGGGTCCTGTTGTGTTCGTAGGTTTTCGATCTGGTTCTGTCCATTTCTTGAGATTATCTGCAACTATGGCGGCAGAGCCAAAGGCGGCGACTGAGGACGTCAAGATGGATTTGTTCGAGGACGACGACGAATTCGAGGAATTCGAAATCGGCGAAGGTGATGGTTTTGATGTTGCTGTTCTCGATTCTATTTGATTGTGTCCTTGTTAGGGTTACGGTTTGGATGAATGAAATAAACATTGATAGTGTGAACTACTAGACCGCTAGATTCTACAATTTGCTTACTCCGTAGTGTTCGAATCTATCAAAACCTGTTAGATTTTTTTTCGTTGGCATGAACATTCATCATTTTCCCGGAATTTGCTTGATCTTTGGCAGCATAGGACCTCAATTTCTATCTTTCATGCAGCATGATTTCTTGTCAAATTTATGTGGTAACAAGGCACAAGAATTTCATTGGTATTATATCTCGTCGCCAAGAATCGATTGTCTGGTTTATGTCCTCACTTATCTGGCTTATGATTGGGGGATGTGTAGCAGATTGGGAGGACAAGGAAGAAGTGAAGGAAGTGGCTCAGCAGTGGGAAGACGATTGGGATGATGACGATGTCAACGACGACTTCTCTCTTCAGTTGAGGAGGGAACTCGAGGGTAGCACTGAGAAGAACTGAGGTCTGCCTCTTGCTATTCTGTCTCTCTCTTTGTCCCAGTCTTCCTATGGATAGCCAGCCCTTCTTCTAGTATTATGTTGGGATGAGAAAAAACTGCCGGAATACCTTTCCAGTCCTTGGTTTATTTTCAACATTGCGTGAATCGGATGAGTCGGTCTACAATGACAAGTAATTCATGGTGTCACTTTTATTCAGCTGACTGGTTATTGTACTCATGTAGATATGCTCACGCTGCTACCATTTCATGGATTCACTCTATGTTGTCTTGTGGTTGAATATGAAGAAATCTTCTTGAGGCTGAGAATAAAGGTATCAAGCTTGGTTGCTCTCTGGACTCTGGAGTCTATCTCTCAAGGGAAACTCATACTCTGTAGTTGTGGTTAGCCAACACACAATGGCAATATGCATTTTTGTTTTTTGTTTCGATATGATTAGTCTGTTTTCTATGATATTTATGAATGTCTTGTTGATGTTTCTTCAAAATTTGATGAGGCCACCACTTCTATGATCCTTCCCAAGAATATAAGTTCGTCCCATCTTCCAAAGTTTAACTGTACCAAGCTGAATTCTCTGTGAACCAAAAGCCAATCGATTCTCTCCGAACTGAACTGAACTTCAAATATGAAAGTTTTAAACACTCATAAAAGACATAAAAAAATCATGTATTGCGACAAAAAGGTTATACAACAATAATTTTTTTCAAGTACTCGAGAGAATAGATACATGAAATCCCCAAAGCAATGACATTATCACAAAACTCTAAAGCATACAGCAAAACACATGAAAACCCCCAACCAAGTACATAGTAAAAGGAATCCATAGTAATCATCTCGTTGTGAGAAAAAAAAACACATGAATTTACACAAACAAACAATAATATATATATATATATATATGTTCCATCTAGAAAGCGAGGCCCAAAGCCACGGCAGCGAGAGAAGCAAGAACGGCGGGCACAAACGCAGACGCGTCAGAAACAGGAGAAGGGGAGGGAGCAGACGCAGAAGCAGACGCAACGTTTTGAACCATTGATACAAACATTATGAACAAGGCCATCAACACTCTCATCTTCAATGCCTCCATCTTCCAAAGTACAAACTATTGAAGAATACACTTGCCCTTTTTTTTTTCCTTTTTTTTTGTTGGATGGGTTTTGAGTAGTGAGTATTGTGTGATGAAATGTGATATATATATATCATATGTGAGCAAGAAGATCATTGGACCATAATAAGAAAGGTTTTTTTACCCAAATAACCCACTTGGGTCGCATCTATTTCATCTGTACACCACCGAAAACATAACACATTTTTTTCCCTGCGAAAAGACGAAATTACCCTTAATGAATTACGATATTTATCCGTTCGAAAACAACTTCGTTATTACGACTTCGTAATTAAGTCTAAATATAGTTACAATTGATTCTAAAAAAGATGGCAAAAAATCATCTGTCTTATTTTTAGTTGTATATCAGTTATATGTTAGTCGTAATAAGATCGCAAAAAATAAAACGAAAAGGGTATTTCAGACTTTTCCCACCGAAAAGTGGGTTAAAATTAAAAAAAAAAAAGTTTTTTTTTTGGGTGGTGTACACTGAAATAGATGCGACCCAAGTGGGTTATTTGGGTGATTTTCCAATTTGGTATTCAATCATTTTTATGAGTGAAGTGAAGTGAATGAATGGGTCTCTGTTTAGCGTTTAGTTGGCATCCAGCTCATCCAAGCTTCTTTGATGTGAAACAACAACATTTTATTTAGAAAGAAAATAAAAAAAATTATTAAAAAAATAGTTGTGCTATTATTAGATTTTAGACAAATTTGTTTGCCTGCTAATAATTGGATTTTTTTCTATATTTTAAATTTGAATTAAATATATTCTAATTCTCGATAAAATTGAAGTGAATATATATGAGTACAAACACTGTAAACAATCGTCTAAAATTCCGAAACATTTTACACGAATTAGAGATTATATATTGCAAAAATTACGATTAGATCAAATGGCGACCACTCTCATAATTATCATGAAATTTTGAAGAGAATAAGTACTACATTTTCTAATTTTCTAAATTTGATTTACCTATTCGGTTTCATATAGAAAATATGTGAATTTGAATAGAATATATTAAATATTCAGACCTACAAATGCATATTGATATTTATATTTGTTTACATTGTTTCATCATCTCTATCATTATCACCATTATTATTACACATTTGGTTCTTGTAATAATTAAAATATACAAAATTAAAAACCAAATGTTTCTACTCATATTAATCCATTAAAATATCTTAAATTTAATATCAAATTTTGAAACATAATCTCATAAAATTGATTTATCGTTGGATTTGTATATAGATCTCGAGTAGATTAAGACCATCCGAAACCATATATGTTTACTATTGTCGAAATCCTAAATCTGTATTGAGAATAATATTGTAATTTTTACTTTTATTTTTTAGGATAATCCAGACTTTGAAGTATTAATAATGCATTAATTTTGCAAACAAAACACTATCTACATCAAAATTATTTTGAATAATTGTTAGAAGAAATAGTTTTAACATGATTTTATATTTTTTGAAAACCATCCTACCACAGCACATTAAAGTTTGATATGTTTTTAGCAAATAAAAAAGTACTTTGTTATGAATAAAAATTTAATAAAATTTTGTATTTTATTACCAGATTTTTAGCATCTTCTTTCCTTTTTTGTTGTTATTTTAAAAATGTATATTTTGATTTTGAATAATTGTTTCTCATTTGAATTTATTGTTCTTGCCAAGGTCGTGGAATTATTTGGTCTCTACATTAATTTGAAAACGTGTGTAACTCATTAATTATATACATATATTACCATATGTTTTTTTTATTATAGTCTCTAAAAGGAGGTGGAAAACAATAATCTATGATTAAACACATGTGTAACTCATTAATTATATACAATCCAAATGGACCGGGTTTATGGGTTGGATAACTGAGTTCGAGATCCGATTAATCATATCTCGGTTCAAGAATCGGTTTATCATCAGAGCGAAAGCCCAGTTCTTTAATACCAACAAAAAAAACAGTTCTTGAAGCTATCAGTTCGAGAACTGGTCCATCATCTCGGTTCATAAACCGGTTTACCATCGGTTCAAGAACCGGTTGAAGCCATTCCATCAGTCCGAAAACTGGTGCATCACGTCTCGGTTCATCTATATATATAATTTAGAAGACGAGATGAAATCAAAAGTGCCCCCTACAACATTTTTGCTACCACAAAAACACCTTGGTAGATCTCTTTCTTATCACTTCTACTCCTTATAACTCGATAACCCGAAAATCAAAAGATGATCGAAGAAGAAGAACAACCCGAAAATCAAAATATAAAGACGAAGAAGAAGAAAGAATAACCCGAAAATCATAAAATGAAGAACAAGAACCCGAAAGCCAGAAGATGATGATGATGAAGAAGAAGAAGAAGAAGATGAGGGCAAATCCTATACTAAGGCACTAGCTCGCGACTTGATTCCAAAAAAAAAGTGGGCAAATTCGACAGATTACCACCCGATCAAATCAGTCAAGAGCCAGCAACATCGCTTGATGCGATATCCTTCTCTTTCGCCTGCTCACGTTTTCTGTTGGCTTCATTCATGACTTCTTGCTCCGCCTTCTCTGAACCGGTCGTGTCTTTAGTTTTCGGAAGTTCGTCTGTTGATGATGTCTCTTTCCTCCCATTGTTGTCAGTTGAAGACAAAGCCTGCTTTCAGACAAATATCGATATGTTAAAAGAAAGTGTGAGATATAAGCAAAACAGCAGGAACATGTAGATGGGCCTGCCTGTTTCTTGAACTGCTGGTGCTTGGCTTTCCTATCTTGAATAACCTTTTGGCGAGCATCATAGAATTCAAAATCGTCAAAGATGGATGTCTTGCTCGAATGATCCTTGAAAATCTTGATGATCTCGACACCGTGATCTAGATCCACCTGCAGGATATAAAAACCCGAAACCATTTCTGTATGCCCGAAAAAATGATGCAAATACAAGAAGCAACACAAAAAAATCAACATTTGATTGCCCCGGACCTCCTGCGTGTCCCGGCTATTAGTAACCGGCTTGTTCTCGTTGTTCTCCAGAGTTATATGCCTGAAAGCACTGTTCGGTATATCTTTAACAACATGCCACTTAACGGGGAAGCAGCCAACCCACCTGTCCTGCTGCCAGTATTCCACAGTCTTGTTAAAATCGACTGGGCCTACCATCTCGGCCAAGCCAACAAACTGCCCGCTCGTGTTTACCTGTAGGAATTCAACCGCAGAAGAAACACGTTTGTTATTAGATGGAATACCCAAATGGACTAGTCGATGAAATCATTACGAATGTCGTTCGTGCTCACAGAAAAAAGTAGAAACACCGGGCAGGCATCTGACTTCTCTTTGGCCTCGTTATATGCCGCATCCAGCTTCTTATTGCCATTAGCCGTGCTGGACCATACGTTGTATTTGATACTTCTGTGGATATCGTCTTCGCTGTACGATTTTATTACATAAAACTTTGCATGTAAGTATGTTTCAGGAAAATCTCCCTTGTTGTAGTCCTCTCTGTCAGGTACAGACATATTCTGCTCATTAGAACAAGCAAGCGTTTTCGGTAGAGAACCTTCTTGGTTCGTGAAACCCTTAGCTCGTGGCCCCTTGTTCAACTCATTCAATCCATCGTTGTTCTCTTTGCCATACAATCCATGACCGCTTGTCTGGTAGCCATTGTTATATGCATACGAATTCGGCTGTCTCCAGGTCTCATAGCCATAAGGGCCATAACCATAGCCAGCCTCTAGTCCATTCATGTAAGGACCATACATCCCATGGTATGAGTACATGTTGTCCATGTGTCCAAACGATCGGGCCATTCCCATTGATCTTGTCTGCAATAAGTTAAGAACATATCATGCCATTAACAAACCAAACATCAGATACCAGGCCATGAACCCGGCTGAATCGGGAACAGGGGCATACCAGGTAAGGGTAGTGATAAAGACTGCTGGTCTTCCCACAAGAAAAGCTCCCACCATAACCATATCTTGGGTACTGATACGGCGGAGTATATAAACCTGCCGGGTAGGTGCCCTTCGGGTTAAAAGACGAGTTCTTGTAACCTAATTTTTTCAGATTCGATCCTTTGTTTGGCGAAAGACCCGGCCTGCAAGTTTTGGTGGTTTCTGCTGGCAAAGAAACTTGTTCCGAGGGAAGTAAAAACCCGTTACCGCTTCCGCCACAAACGTCCTACCGAGAAAACAAATGAATCCATTAGCTTTTCGAGATGGAGACTCATTAACCGGCACACCAATCCGTCAAGCTCAACACGAGGAACAGCCCAAATACTCTGAAGCAGTCTTTTGTTTTTCAATTTATATAATCTCCAGAGAGTTCCAAAACAATTTACATTCGGACATAGCAGAGGATCTGAACATTAACACATCAGTTTTGGTGTCAGTACCTTATTTCCGGCATTGGGAGCCTCAGGCTTGGCCTCTGGATCAAGGGACAAGTTGTGGAGCAAATAAGCAGTTTCTGTGTTTCCACAAGTGAAGGAATAACAAATCCATGATTGCACAAATCGATTAACTGAACAAGAAGCTAAGCTCAAAACTATACTCAGTGAAGACAACATGGTTCCATCGATCAAAACCTCAGATCTACATGAAACTCAAACATGTGGTCCGAGCTTCAATGGATACAAACAAAGCAAAACTACCCTCTGTTCTTGCAGTAAAATCCTTCATAATAAACTCACCATGAGAACACAATCACTGAAAACCCTAGCAAAACCCTGTGGCACAAACGCAGAAGAAACTCCCAGGAAACCCACCAGAGGACACATGAATTCATAAGAAAATTTCAAAAACCCAAGTCCCAGACGAAGCAAAACAAGCCAAAAACAAAACCATTCAACTCAAGAGAAATCGCCAACAACAGATGAACAGAGAGGAACTCACATGAACTACGAAACAAAAGAGTGATCAGATGGGTTTTCACATAAAAAAGGGGAAAACCCATACCCGTAAGAGGAGACGCAGAAATGATACTATCAGAAGAAGCTACGGCGGCCATGGCTGTATCGGCGGCGGAAATCTGAGAGAGAGAGAGGACAGCTGATTAAGGGGAAGCAAGAGCCGATCCCACAAGTGGGTGGGAGTTTGAAAGGTGAGATTTTTTATAAGTGTATATTTTTATAGGTCAGACATGAGTTATATATGTATGAAATCGAAGATGTGCATGACGCCATTGATTGAGCTGCTTCCGACAGAAATTGGAGTTTAGCGGGAAGCAAGATCCTACTTGAGTGCCAATTCTATTACAGTTCGGTTTTTCTTTTTGTAAATAAATAAGCAAAGCAAATTAAAACTTCAACCAAAGAAAAATCCTTGGGAATTTTTGTTATTTCGGGAGAATTGTATTTTATTATCTAATTTTAATATTTGGAATTTCGAAAATAAAATTAAACACCCACGAAATATTACAAATACAAGGCACTTGCACACGGAGTGGCCCAACTGCCAAAATTCAACATCATTATATATATATATATATATATATATATATATATATATTCTTTTATGTAATACAGCGAATACTTCTTTTCATAATTAATCATTTCATTTCATTCTTTTTGTTTTTTTGCTGTTTTATATTTTTTTAACTGTATATCGATTCAAGTTTTTCATAAAAAATATTAATCTTTAGAGATATTTTATTTTTTATATTCATTCGATTTAGTATAATTTAATTTTAAAATACAATGATATATTAATTATCCATTTTACAACATATTTAGGTTGTTAATATATTTATATCCAAATCAAAATAAGGTTTTATGATATATCACTAATCGATTTTATTAGTGGTATTAGCATGGTGACAAAAATGATTATAATATTATATATATATTTATAGAGGTTATATGCGCGCGTGTGTAGTGTACATGTTTCGTGGCCACTTGGCATCAATAAAGGAGGTTTTATGATGTATCACTAATTGATTGTCATTGTGGTATTAGCGTCGTGACAAAAAATGATTATAATATATATATAAGGTTATATATATATGCGTGTGTGTATGTATATATTCTGTGGCTGGCAAAGACAACGCAGTCGCAGATGGTGGGCAGAGTGGGATCTAATTAAGCATGTAGGACCCACATTAGGGTTAAAGACATCACAACTTAAATATATTTTTTTTTGGTTAAATCACAGATTTTTTTTTTAAATACGAAAGTTCACCGTACCTTCGGTCCGACTACATTTCCCAGAAAAACGGGAGAGTTCATGTGAATATCTATTCCCAACCTCAGAAATCGAACAGCGACGTAAAAGTATATTGACTAACACGCCAACCAGTCGCCCAGTTTGGACCGGATAACTTAAATATTCAGATCAAAGCAACTTGGACCCTTTTGAATTTTCTCACGTGTTTTTCTGCCACTATTTTATTTCCCCATGACTTTGGATGTTTCGTTTGTGCTCATTCGTTCTACCAAATTTTGTCGGGCTCTAATTGATTCTCAACCTCTTTTTTCATCGGATTCAAATTAAATAAAATTGAATATGAAATAAACCGCATAAAGAATAATTTGATTATGGTTTTTTTTAAATAAACTATGTCTTGTTTCAATTAGATCCCAATTTTGCAACGGAACATACCGAAATATCAATCAAGTTGAAAAAAAAGAGATTGAAATCAAATCTATTTTTTTGTTCGGAATTATTTAGTTTTGAAATGGACTTTTGTCCGGAATTATATTATTTGAAATAATTTAATTACAATTAGACACGGATTGAGTTAAGCCAACCAAAAACGTAACCGAAAAATTAAGCAATGATTAAACTAATACAATTGGAAATAATATAACATGAATTAGGGTGTAACGGGTGAAAATCTAAAATTTCCTTCACTAATTTAAAACAAAACCAAATTAAATTATTTGCATAATACCCTTTTTCGTTAATTGTATCACTGTATAACACCCCATCCCTTGATTCGTGTCCTTTTTCTTTAGCAATTTTATTAGTGCAAAGAATTTCTCAATAATTTTATTACTGGTATTTTTTTAAATCTATTTTTAACTACAAGCCTAAGGACTAAACATTAAATCTTTAATCCTAGTAATCTCTAAACATTCAATGCTAGTTTCTAAACCCTAAATACCAAACCGACCCTAAACTTTAAATTATAAACCAATTTTAGGGTTCATAGTTATAACTTAGGATTTTAGGGTTTATAATTAATTTAAAGGTTATTTTAGAATTAATAGAAAGTTAAAACATTACTCTTTTACCTACCTTGATTAAAAGGGTGATTTACTCTTCCAGATTTTGTTAATTAAAAAAAAAAAAAAGAGAAGAACTGTTTCTACATATAGGAAGATCGATAATAGCATCCAGCCATAAACGTTGTTCTTTCTGCCACTTGAAACACAAAAACAAACAGAAGCTACTTCAACACTAAAACTGACTCATAACAGCAAGAACTGATGATGAATCATGTCGGGACAGGGTAGCAACGGATGTCTTCCCGCTCGTTAAGTAACATCAGGGACACAGCGAGGATGGCTACGAGCACGAACGATGATGACACCATGAGGACGAACCTGGAGATGTATCCTGTCTTGTTCTTACCAATCATCGTCTTCAGGGCACGAGGTCTTCCTTGAGGAAATGTGACGAGAGGAGCTTCGTCGGTTGATGACACTGATTCTGAGTTGCTTTGATCTTGTTTTCGGTGTTTTGGGTGCGAATCTCCGTTCTCTTCGACGTTTTTGTCAGCCAAGTTTTGCAAGAAACCGTTCTGGCAAGGTGGGTTTCTTGCCGCTGAACTTCTTAATCTCGGATTTTGTTTGTCTGAGTGGTCCGAGTTGACGCCATCGGGGTCTTGAAGGGAACGGATCAGCCTCCGTGGGGTGCTGAAGATGTCGATATCCTCAACATTGATGCGACAACGTTGTTTCTGCTTCACAAAATGACAAGTATAATAAAAATTCTGATCACCATAGAAGAGACAGATCAACAAGAGCAAGTCCTTTAGATAGATTTTATGTGTTCTTCTTGCAAGTTGAGAATTTTTCACCTGGGGACTAGGAGTGCCGCTTCTCAGCTGCCGGTCTCGCATATTTTCAAACAGAAACCCTTCGAATTCATCATTGCAGTCTCCTCCACTGCTAGAAAGATTGTATGGGACAAGAGGTGAATCTGATACAGTGGTGCTTTGCTGAGTCATCCCTGAGAAAAGGCCGTCCTTTAGAGAGATATCGACCCCTCCATTCTCGTGCCTCCAAAGTTTCCGGCTGACACTTCGCCGGTCAAACTCAGAGTTATAAGAAGTATGAGACATCGAATGAGGAGGTGAGTCAAGCAGGGAATCGTATCCACTGAATGAATCGACGGTTTGTGATTCAGGTGACATGGAGATAGGAGAATGACCATTGGCATTTGATGCATTGTTCTTCGATCGGTTACCGTTTCTTCTGCTGAAATTTGAACCAGTAACCGAACGACAGCCCTTCTCGAGCTTTACCTCTAACTCTCCGGCTATTTTTTTCGCAGTCATCATTGTCTCGTAAGCAGCTCCTCTGACATAAGCCATTTGATCAGATTGACACTTCTCCATTTCTTTGATGATGAACTCAACTTCCGAATATATGCTTCTTGGATCCAAACACTTCATCAGAAAGTTCAACATTTGAACAGCCGATAACCGTTTCTGCGAGTTTCCTTCCGAAACACCGAATTCTAAGATTCTAAGTCCCGAATGTATCAGCAACCTCGCATAGGCTTCAACAATCAGTGGATTATGCTTTGCTAAAGCCATGACCAAACCCATTTGAAGATGGGTCTGGTTGGAATTGACTTCCAAGGCGATTGCCACGTTCTGACAAACCTTGTTCACCATCTCATCCGAAGCAAATCGCCAGTTGTCAGAATCCACGAGAGCCTTCAGACATAATGCAGAACCTGAAGTGAGGCTCTCTTGAGAACCCAAGAGAGAATTCAAAAGGGGTACGCACAACGAATGAATGATATGCCGTTTCTTGTCTTCAGGAGTTGTCGGATCAATCCCGTACCGAGCAATGGCGGGAACAACTTTCGAACAAGCTTGTTGAAGAGGGAACGAACCCGCACTAGATGCCAGGGTTTTCACAATGGTTGTCATGATGGTATCGATCTGAGGTACGATGTTCGGTCCATGAACCCGAGCAAGAATTTCGTAGAGCGAAATGGTGTACTCGCCAGACAGAGAACTGGCTTCTTTAGTCTCGGAAACTTGAGCAAGAAAAGCCGGTATGGCCTTTGAATCCAAATCCTTCACATAAGATTTAAGAGCTTTCAATGCTGATTTACGACTATCGGCGTCTTTGTCAAGATTAGCCAGTTCTTGTCTGAGGATAGGGTTCAGATTCAAACCCATTCTCCACCTGAATTACACAGAATCAATGGAGCATGAACAGAGTTGCTGTAGGAAACGAGGCTCTACAAGTCACATAATCAGACAACTTCAAACATCTGGATTCCAAATGATTCACATTTTTATCCTAAGGGGAAAAAAACGAATTCCCAGTAAGAAACACAGTCTCATCTTTCTCTACATTTTCTAAGGAGCCAAACAGCTACTACTTGAACAGGATTGACATGAATCTCTTGCCAACTAAAACTGGATCTTGCTTTTGTTCATGAAGATTGCAAAAACAGAAAATCAAATTTGCATACTGTAGACCCAGATTTCGTGTTCTCACAACTCATTCAGTGTAACAAATAAGACAACACCAACAGAAAACTTTGAATCTCCGGAAACAGATCTCATACCTGTTTTTGGTTCCTCTGTTAGTACAGATACTCCTGCTTCGTGTACACCCAAAAACAAAGATCGATTCTTTTTCAGGAATTTGAATAACTCTTCGAGAAAGATCCGATTTTTTCAAGAATCCAGGACAAAAACGAAAATGGGTAGCCAAAAATTTTAAAAAAAAAATGGAGGAAGGAAACAAATGGAAGTAAATTGGCAAACGAAGAACACCCAAAACAAAACCCAGAAGCTGTACAGTGAAATGCAAAAGAAAGAAGCAGATCTGGGGTTTAGGGTTTTTTTGTTCTGCTTTTTTTTTTTATGTTCTTGTGCTTTGTTCACTGTGGTCTCATTACATTGATTACCTCCGTGTTTCGTGTCTATCTACTGAGAAATTTTTGTGTTTTTCCTTTTTCGTATTTTTTTATATTACCACAGAAAATGAAAAAAAAAAATGGAGCGAGTATTGTACGTTGAAATTCAAAATTTTTTCTTCGAAATTCCACCGCTACTGCGTACTGTGGGTCCCGTCATGTATTAATGGACGATATTACCCTCAATGTCATTTCTCTTTTTCTTTTTATTTATGAGACGTTGGTATTTTAATTGTGAAAAATATATTTGTACATCTATTACAGGGAAAAGATTATCCAACTACGAACTAGAAAACTGAATAATGGAAGTAATTAAATTTTTATTAAAAAATAGAAATAGAAATTGTTTTAAGATTAATAAATCATTGATGTAAACCAATTTAAACTCAATTTTATAGAAAGTCAAATCTTGCATGTGCTCTTGATTCGTGTCCGGGTCCGACAACGGACAAAAAACAGAAGCGGGTTTTAATTGCATTGAAACAAAATTAGCTGAAATAACTTTTTAATTTATTTCTCTTACTAATATAAAAATTAATTCTATTAAAAATGTGTCTACTATTTCATTACAATTTAATCTATATTTTTTCACGAATGATTATACGTTTATCTAATTTAAAATGATTTACTGTGGGGCACAGTAAATCATTTTAAATTAAATAATGGAAATGTATGATTTAAACGAATCACAGTATCGAAGCATAATTGATGGTCAAAAGGCGTGCCGAAAAATAATTAACAAAAATATATTGAGGTCGGAATATTCTTATAGTTAAATATTTAGTATGTTAAATCCCTGTATTAAATAATTTGATATCGAATGAATGAGATAAGAATGCTAATGTGGATTTTGCATCGACTAGGGTTGTTCGATTTGAGAATAAAATATTGAATCCAATTTTTATTTCTTTACTTCGATTATAATTCATTTAGATTTATTTCATTTCATTGTTTTTAATGCTTCCACATTAAATTAATTAAAATTTTGCGGGGTTTTCAATTCCATATGAGATTTTAACTAAAATTCATTAAAAGTTTTATCCTTACAAAATAAACAAAAATAAAAATATATAAATGGACAAACAAGATATGATTAAAAAAAATATTAAAAAAAGTATTAAATTTAAATGAAGTATGCTTGTATCTCACACACAAATACTACGGTAGACTAATAAAAAAGTAATAAACTATAATTTAAAATGAACATTAATTGTTGTAATAAAAGGAGTTTTACAGTAAATATAAATCAGAATATAAAATTTAAAATTCTAATTAGTATTAATAAGTATAATCAAAAATATTTAGTCAAATCAAAATTTCAAAAATTAGTATTACTCAATATAATAAAAGTAAAATAAATATTTATTAAATTTGGATGATGTGTGTGCATTTATTTAGCGAAAAGAGAAAAAAGAATTAATAAATTTGACTTTTTTTATATAAAAAATTAGATATTATCCCCCCGATGTTTTGTCTAATTCACTAATATTCGATTTTATTTATAAAATAAGAGCACTGTCTTCAGTTTTTAATATGCTACATTAGAAAAGATTGTGATTCAGACAAACTCGTAAAATCTTCGTATCTTAATGTAATCAGATCATAAGATTTGTTCCATCCATCCATCTCTTTTACGTCTCGTAGCGATTGTAGGGGTAAATCCGTCATTATGTGTTTCCTTATTCGCGCTCTCCAAAATCCAAATGGAAACTTTTCAGTTTCCCGCCCGCTTGACCAAAAATCCAAAGACCCCGCCAGTAACACACGGAGTGAAAGACTGCATTGCCCTTACATGTCACCCAATTATATATTTGGGAATTTTGTATAAAAGCCGAACTCATATTAAAATTTTAAAGTTGAAATTTTAAATTTTAAAAACTTGGAGTTCGGTACAATTTAAACACAAAATTCAGCCTCAACAACAATATCACCTTAATCCCAAATTTATTTAAGATTAACCATATAAATTTTTTATTTCTACTCATTTTAATTTTGTGTTAACTCTTCCGAAAACGATATGTTTCCAATTAATTCTATATCTATCCTTTTCTTTTCTTTTTAACAAGGGTGTCAATTTTGGTCTAAAACACGACGGGTTTTGGATTAAATATTTAGGTCCAAAAATTTTCGATCTTTCGGATCGGATTCATATCACACTTTGGACTGGTCCAAAAATTCGATTTTTTTTAAAAAATTAATAAAAATAATAAATTTCAAAGAAAGATGTTTTATGGGTCTGTTTTGCATCGGTCAACGCAACCACTTGATTATCTTCGAGTAAACAAATATTGTGTTTTGTTTCTTCAAATTTCACGACATGTCTAACTCTATAATCCTCTACTTACGGTTAGAGAATAAGTTTTGAAACCGTACACGTGTGTGATTCCTGCCAATTTCGTATATTACACTGATAAAATTGTTATTGAAATGTGATTTTTGGATAAAGAAGAAAAATAAGGTTTCGGAATCCATATCAAATCGAAAAATGTAGTATCGTTCTTGAACCATCTAAAATTTTCGAACGGTAAATCTTTTTACAAAACCGAATTTTTCGAAATCAAACCGAATTTAAAAAAAATCTGAAAAACCGAATTATTTTTAAGAAAATCTAATTTTTTTAAATAAAAACTAGAACCGAACTGAATTTGAACCAAACCGAATATATATGATATAATAACCGATTGATATATTTTTTATAGGAGCGAAAAAACCGAACAAAATCATCTTCGAACCAAACCTAAATTGAATACCGAAATGCCCACTCCCTAGATACAACTATCAACGCTCGTAGAAAACTTCAGATCTCGATATATATGTCTTTGATGCGTGTAATCACTTTTCTGAAAGTGTTATTCCATCTCTTCGGGTTAAACGAATCCGGTAAGTTAGATGCGTATCGCATTTATTTTAGAACAAAACTCCACTTTTCAAAACGTTCTCCAACAACAAATCAGAAAAGGGTTTTAAAAAATAAACGCATAATTAATTATCACATTCTCTACTATTTCACGTTCTCTGTTTTGGTAAAAAAGGAAGAAATACCATCGCATGTTTCTTTAGAGCAAAACCCCACTAGACATGATTTTTAATAACTTTAACAACCTTCAATTCATTAAATTGGATAGAAATGTTAGTAGACACAAACAAAGGAACTTCCTTGTAAATAAATTAATGCTATAAGGGTTAGAAAGATGTTATGATTGCATTGTTGCATATAAATATCCCTCCTACTTCAATTCTCAAATAAAAAAAAAAGCAAAAAACATAACATACTGTGGAGAATTAATTAAAATCCAAACACATTTAGCGAAAATGACAAAACTCAGCATCAAGATCGCTATGGCCTTGGCTATTGTAAGTGTGGTATGTGCATTTGTGCCCGCCTTTGCTATTGAAGAAGTGGAAGCGAAGAAATTCTGGGATGAATGTCTCACCAAAATGTCTCCAAAATGTACATTGGATATAGTCGAAGAGATTTTCTGGAATGGGACCGTCTCCGATGCTTGTTGTCGTGAGCTTGTTCTCACTACAAAAAAATCAGCAAATTCCAACGAATTTTCCAACGGATTTATCCGTTGGAAATTTTTCAACGGATTTTCAACGGTTTTCAACGGCATTTCAACGGTGATTTCCGTTAAAAATCCGTTGAAAATTTCCAACGGATATCCGTTGGAATCGCCCGTTGGAAATTTTTAACGGAATTTTCAACGTATTCAATTGAAAAAATTAGTGTTGAAATTTTCCAACGGTATTTCCAACGGATATCCGTTGGAATTTTTTTTGGAAATTTTAAAAAAAAATTCCAACGGAATTCCAACGGATGTCAGTTGAAATTTTTTTTGGAAATTTTAAAAAAAAATTCCAACGGAATTCCAACGGATGTCGGTTGGAAATTTTTTTGGAGATTTAAAAAAACAATTCCAACGGAATTCCAACGGATGTCGGTTGGAAATTTTTTTGGAAATTTAAAAAAAAAATTCCAACGGAATTCCAACGGATGTCGGTTGGAAATTTTTTTGGAGATTTAAAAAAAAAATTCCAACG